TTTCTTTTTAATAGAAACCTGTTACCAGTCATTCAAAATTGATATATGGCTGCACATCAGATTAAAGAAACATGCCAGACTAAAAAAAAAAAAAAAAAAAAGCTATCACAATATTCTGAGACAGTCCTAATCAAATAAAACTTAAATTTACTGAACTTCATAGAACAAAAGACAGAGTTCTCTCTTTTGTGTGTATGTGTACTTTGGATAGAAATACATGGAATCAATTTAACCTTTTCCACTCTCCTATGAATGGAAACTTCCTTAAATTGAATAATATCTTAATTGTTGGTTTGTCTGTTGTTTTTCTTTTTTGTTTGTTTGTTTTTTTTTAAATCTACTTACATCTTTTAGTATAGCACCAAAAGTCCCTGACTTTCTGTGGAGTAAAAAGGAATACAGCTGTTTTCAAAGCCCAGGTATGCCCTGTAATATCATTGTTAATAATTAATTTTTAATTAACACCATAATTCCTCTTAGAAAATAAAAAAATGTAAAAACAAACAAATGTGATTCACATTCTGTGAAACAGGGATCCCCTCCCATCCTCTGAGTAGGAAGTGATGATCACAGAATCACAGCATGGTTTGGGTTGGAAGGGGCCATAAAGATGACCCAGCTCCCACCCCCCTGCCATGGGCAGGGACACCTCCCACCAGACCACGGTTACCCAAAGCTCCAACCAGCCTGGCCTTGAGCACTTCCAGGGATAGGACATTTTTTCCTAATTTCTTAGGAATTTCTCCCAAATATCTAATCTAAATCTACCCCCTTTCAGTAGAGGGTACCAACTGAAGAGTACCCAACACACCTTGTCCTATCACTACTGCCCCCTCCCCAGGCTTTTCTACTGGCCACATTGTTTTTGGTACAGCCCAGGGTATGGTTGGCTTTTTGGGCTGCAAGTGCACATCGCTGGCTCATGTTGAGCTTCTCGTCAACCACCACCCCCAGGTTTTTCTCCTCAGGGCTGCTCTCAATCCATTGCCCACTGTATTCATGCTTGGGATTGCCCTGACCTAGGTGCAGGACCTGCAATTTGTTTTTATTCTTCTAAATAATTTTAGATTCTTAGTATGCTGCTTTGTCATACCAGCATACTGGTAGCAAAGATAGTGCAGGAGTGATGCTAGTAGAAAGGAAGCCAAAGTAAAGGCAATTGTGACTGCTAAGAGACACTGCTTTCAGTATAACTGACAAGATTTTAATTTTTTATTGAAAATAATCTTTAAGTATATTTAAACATTAACAGTGGTATTTTTATCCTTAAATCCTGATATCTTTACATAGTGACACCATAGTTTACCCAAAGTGTAACAGAAAGGAAAGTTTGTCGTGATAATTAGCATTCCTTTGTACGGTCAAGATCAAAGTTACTACTGGTGCAAATGAATTTATCTCCATTGACTTTGACAGAATTTTGGCCACTAATGCTGATGGGAAGTTTGGCCTTTGCTATTTAAAACTCAAGGAAGAGAATGATAAGTGGTATGGGAAACTTTAATTTTATATTTGAAATGTAAGAAGTTGACAATAATGATTTTTCCACTGTTGACACCAATTGAGTATAAACTTGATAAAGTCCCATTCCCAGACAGACCATTGTCAAGCCTAAGCCCTCGATTTAGAGACACAGTAAGGATGGAAACATGCAAGCTATATGAGGGTGCCATAGTGGAGTTTCAATCTTCCTGAACTCTTGACCAAAAGGAGAGAACATGAAATATGTGAGAGCACTGATTGAAAGACTATTTCTGTCCAAGGGAAAGATCACATTGACCAAGAGTGGAGTGAGGAATTAAGGCATGGCTGTAATTAAAGGCTAAAGAAAGAGGAAAGAGTCATAAAATTCAAGCTTCTATTTAGTCTGGGCAAGTTTGAATTCAAAAAGAGGGATGACACTGGATGTCAGAGAAGCAGAAGGAAATAAAGCTGACGGCAGATAGATGAAAACAGTTTATAACAGCACATAATTAACCCGTGGAAACCCTTTCAGAAACTGCTGTGATTAGGATGCCTAGAGAACAAGTCAACATTTTTATTAACATGTGTCCAGTTCAATGCTTACAAAATAAAAAAAAATCTCTGGAAAGCTTTATCCTTTCAGTCATAAGCCAGCTTCTCACTAACAAGGAATTTCCCTTAAGGGCTGATAAGTACATATTTATTACATTATTAATCATTATTGCAATTATTTAGCTTGTTTAAACTGAAGAGTGGGATTTTATACTATCAGCTTAGGTCACTCAGGCAATTCCCATATTGCACTGTTTTGGCACGGCCAAAAATAAAAATAAAAAAAAGAGTTCTCACTGGACTGCAGAGCAGGGATAAGTATATAGCACAACCTTATTCATTCAGCTTGGACAGATACCAAAAGATTTCTGGAACTGTTTTGTTGTTCTGCCAGTAAAGAAATGATAGGCGTAACCCTGCAAGATACGCTGTGGTTGCTTATTATCTGATTATCCTGTTCAGGATGGAAAGAATGGTTAGAACAAAGCCATACTATCTTTTATAAAGGAATGGGGAAATTAAATAAATGGTTCATGCGGACTGCCGTGCTGGCAAGGCTCGTCTGTGACATTCTGACATTGAACAGCCCAGAGCTTCTGGCTTGCTTTTGGGAATGCCAGCAGTAGCTACATCCCATACAGACCTGAGGCTTTCTGCATGAATGAGTGCAAACTCCTGAACTCGGAAGTGAAGTGGTTTCAGAGCAGAAGTTGTGGGGCTACATTCCGGGGCCAATTCACCCAGCTGCTGTTCTCAGAGAGCTTCTCTGTGGGGTTACGTGACTGCCTGACTTCTGGTCTACAGTTAGATCACTTCCAGCATTTTAGGAGAGCAGTCAGTGCAAGCACAACGCTGTACCACTTCTGTAGATCTGTCCTAAGTGTTCATGGGCTACATAAAAAAGGAATTTGTGTACAACACCCTTGTAAACATCCTATTATTTGTAACAGCCACTGCTAGTCATACAGCATTGTCAGGAAGCTGGTGAAGCCAGGGAAATCTGTAGTACTTGAATCCAGCGTGGACTGAGGAAATTAGCCTCTTCATTGATCTGGGTGCTTATTTGTTTTGAAACTTTTTTCTCTCTCTCTCTCTTTTTTTTTTTTTTTTTTCTTTTTTTCCTATAGAGTAGTCTAGTGATATGGGATAGGGGGGAATTTTAGGCTAAAATAAGAATGCAAGATCTCTTTGAATCTCAAATGTGATACTAACACCATGCAACTGTGAATAATTCTTTAAAATGGTTAAAATCTTTTTTTTTTTTTTTTTTCTTTTTCTTTGAGGCAAAGCATATTTAATTATTGCTCCCAGGGCCCTCAAGAAGTAGTATGTAGTGAGAATACCAATACTTGTGATTTGCCAGAAAAAAAACACTGTACTTTCAGAGTATCAAGTACAGTCCTCAAGTAGGCACAATTCAAAACCTTGTTTCATAGTCTCTAAAAGAACTCTAAGAGAGGAGATGACATTACGAGGGTTATGTGTAAAAACAATACAGACACAATACTGGCTAGGTGCAGCTATTTGACTTGGTCCTTTATAACAACACTCAAAGATAAGAAGAAACAGTTTTAAAATCGAATTGCAGTAGTATATAAACATGATGAATCATCCAGAGGTGGTTTGTTACAGTTTCCAGTTAGGCCTGTCCTTTAGTCATAAAAAAGAGGACACGGAGCCAAAACAATTGTTAGATCAGGTAGGTAAGAAAGCACGTTTCCTACACAGCATTTCATCAGTTTGCAGCAATCTCATGTCTACAGGCTGTTATTGAAGCAAATGGCTTGGTAATTCTCTAGAAAGATGTCAGAATGAGGAGCTTAAATTATGGGAAAAATCTCATGTGGTTAAAAACAAACTGTAAAGTGCAGTTAATTGTGCTAAGAAAACAGGTTATGTTTTCCTCCCGTACTTCAGCAGTAAGTACTGTTGGAAGCAGGATGCCAGACTAAATCAGTAAGAGGTTTGTTGTTGCTTTCTTCTGCCCTTTCCCGAGCATTGTTTCTAACTGTGCTGCTCCAGAGCTCAGTTTTATTTCTGAGGCACCATCAGACTCCTTAAAGGCTCTAACTGGCTTCAGTTCTGCTTGTGGAGATCTCAAAATCGGAAGCCACCTGGCTGGACCAAAAAGTCTACCTCTAAAATCAAGTACTGCCGAGTCCCTTGTAACTGTACTTCAGGCGGGCGTGCTGGCTGTAATAGATTGTTCAATAATTCTTCATTTAGAGTAAATTGGTGGGTAAGGTCCATGCTATCTCTCAGCAGCTCTTTGTCATTCAGTCTATGTCTCTCTTACAAAGCAGAAAGGTCAGTGAACAGCTGTATGAATGGAGAATATTTATAGGGGATTTTTATTTTTTTTTAATGTGAGGTTCAGATTCTGATGAGATTACACTTAAAATTTACTTAGATTTTACTCAGGTTCAAACCACTGATTGACAGACCAAGTTAACACATGACCTGTTCATATCTGTAACCTTTCTCAGTAGAAACTATCAATCTTCATAAAATCTGGGGATGGTGATGATTCAATAAACAAATCCTATCATGCCATGGGGTATACTGTGTATCTTCTTGTCATGTGTGGAATAGTTAGTAAGGAAGATCCATTAATTAATGTAGTTCCATTAATTAATTATAGTAAAAGTAAAACAGTACTTATGTCCTGAGCCATAGTTTGCAAAAGCCTAACTTGTTTTGTTTTATCCGTGGTATTTGGGTCAGGGTCTGCTCGTACTGCAGCTCAGTCAAGTGTGACTTTACCATCATCAAAATCCAATAGCGTACAGTAATAGCTGCATGGAAATGACAAGACTTAAGCAATGAGTTAATATCTCTACATCTCTGTCTGAAATACGAAGGAAGAAAACAGATACAAGAGAAATCAAAACACGAGTTCGGGCTGCTGCAATAGTCTGAGTCAAGATAAATAGGCACGTTGCATGTGACTGGCCACTAACAGTATTTTCGTTTGGTTCACATAGAAAAAAGAAGAATGGAGAAGAAGAGCAGCCAAAGTCCTCTCTCAGTAATCAGTACCGAATTGTTACACCCACATTCCAGTATAATATGGACTACAAGAAAGTTGGCAAATGCATTATTATAAACAACAAAAATTTTGAAGACAAAACAGGTAATGTTCTTTGCGTGCTTGAGAGGGAAGGTTGGACCACATGACCTCCAGAGGTCCTTTCCAACCTAAACTGTTCTGTGATTCTTTTGATGACATTCATTACAGATTTCAGATTTTTTACCCTTTCATTTATCAATAAACCTATTATTTTCAGAGTATTGAATTTAATTACTATACTTACCTTATTTGAGAAATAGTTGTTCCTACAGTTTTTTTCTGGTATCTAATACTTACATTGGAGCACCTCTTTGCAGTTCCTTTGCAGTAGATATTTCAAAAAGCACATCACCTTGCTCTGCCAACTTCAAACTAAACCTTTGTCCCAGACTTTAAGGGTGTGTTGTTAAAATTTGAACTTTGGTATCTGCAGCCTGTATTATAACTTTCCCATCCCTGAACAATAACTTAATAGCTGTAGCCGTGCTACAAATCTAGTATCTATAGCTATGTTCTGCTCACTTCTCTGTGGTAGATGCATTTAACTTTCTAGACTGTGTACAGTTTTGAAGCAGATGATATTTGTGTTAGTCAACTTTATAGTTGTGTTTTTTTTCCCCTACACACTAGGCAAACACATTAAATGAAGAGCTTATTCCAAAGAATTTACATCAGTGTCTTTTATGTGGATATCATAGGGACTCTTTTTCAACAATAATTCCTTGGGGTGCTTTATGCATGTGTTAGTCTGCATAACCAAAAGGAGATAGAATGCTCCACAGAGGTTCCATGTTCCAAGATTCTGGAGGTATGCCAACATTTTTCAGGATAAGATACATGTTAACATTGAACTTTGCATTATTTTACATTAAAAAGAACCTCACAACTGTTCTAAATGCTGAAAATGTTAGAGGATTGTTTTGAAATTGTCACCTTTCAATATATAAATTATTCTGAATTGTCTAACGTGCAATCAACTGTATTGTTTCTTTTCTGACAGGAATGGGTACACGCAACGGCACTGATAAAGATGCTGGAGATCTAACTAAGAGTTTTAGAAACTTAGGTTTTGAGGTTCACATATACAATGACCGAAGCTGTGATGATATGAAAAAACTACTGAAGCAAGGTAAAAATTTACAATCATAGAATAATTGTGGAAAGGACCTCTGGAGGTCACCCAAGTTATGCACTGCACAGAGCAGGTCAGATTAGAACAGATTGCTTAGGCCCCTCTAAATGAAGTTTTCTGTGTAGGAGGACTGGGTTTCTGAACAGATTAGCTTTAATTCCCCACCTCTTCCTCCAAAGTCAATTCAGAAGTACAGTTTTATTGTCATAGTAAATGAAGACTGTTCTCGTTTAGTGAAGAGTTTGGCCTGCTTACTCCAGTGGATTAGACCCTGCATTCATTTATTCAAGGTACATTGTTAAAAAGTGGGTTGTGTCATCTTTATCCACTTCTTATGCCTTCCAACAGAGGCCCACTGTACATTTAGTCTCAGGAAGTTTTCATTTAAAGTTTTACTTCCTTTTGGTTAAAAAGTATTTGACTTGTAGCTGCTGAAGAGAATCACAGTGATGCTGCTTGCTTTGCCTGTATCCTTCTAAGCCACGGGGAGGAAGGCCTCATCTATGGCACCGATGGACCTATGGCTATCAAACATCTGACTGCACTCTTCAGAGGAGACAAATGTAAAAGCCTTATAGGGAAACCCAAATTATTTTTCATTCAGGTAATAGCTCTAAGGTAAATATAATACCCTACTGCAGCAGCAGAGAAGACGTGTTTTGTCATGTGTCTGGTCTTGTCATCTTCACTGCTATTTCAGGCATGCCGAGGCTCTGAATTTGATGAAGGTATACAAACTGACTCTGGACCTGCAAATGACACTCTGGAAACAGATGCCAATCCTAGATACAAAATTCCAGTTGAAGCAGATTTTCTGTTTGCATATTCCACAGTGCCAGGTAAAAAAAAAAAAAAAAAAGTGTGGGAGGAAAGAAGCCTGACAACTTATCACTCATATGAATTAATTACGCACTATTTGTAAATTAGATATGCATTTTTACATTTAAATTTCAGTAACCGGGTATGTGTAAGTGAATAAAAAAGAAACAGTTATATTCCGTTAGATTTTTTTTTAATTCTGTTTTCTGTCTTCAGAATTTTAATTTTGTTTTTTGTCTTCAGCAACTGTAACATTTTTATTTTCAGAAGTGCAAATAGATGTGCTGTATATGTTGACTTTCACTAACATTCAGAATTTTAATTTACGATGGTTAACAACCTTTTTTTTTTAACAAGAAGCTAGATTTTAAAGGACATACTCCTACTGTAGTGCTATGGAGCTAAAAGTATAGCATGCATGTCACAGTAGCACTGACTTTGTAGGAGGTACATAATCAAAATAGAGAGTGTGAATCTGATTATGAGGCTATAATCATGTGGAACAGAAATAAGTTATATTAAATATGTTTTTAAAATTGCTTGATAAAGAAACATGATCTGAACTCCTTTATTACAGCATAGACAAAGTTTGTAGGCAGAGAATTAATCTTTGATTCGAGTTGCTAATATAGCCGGAAGAAGTTGGAAGTCCTATCTTCAGTTCTCCATAGACATTTTCCAAGTGTAGTAGTTACTCTGATAAAACATGTATTTCTACAGAACTTGTGTCTGTGCCCCTAATGCATCCATCACAGCTGCTGCAGTACTAGCCCTAGCATTGTAGATCCTCATTGATAAGCTGGTCTACACTGATGGGCAAAAAGCTAAGACCCAGCGTATGTTGGGCCAATTTGTTGTATCTGCACCTTTTATGCTAGCTACCGCTAAGACCGCTAAGGAGAAAGCCCAGATTTGGCAGGTAAGAAGGCACAGACATTACAGATGGCAAAGGAAGGGGATACTGCCTGTTTTAGTGACTATGTTGAATTTGAGTCGAATGCAGAAAGAGGATGATTTATGGCATGAAGCTAATACAAAAATAAGGTTCTATGGGAAAATATATCACAGAATCACAGAATCACAGAATTTCTAGGTTGGAAGAGACCTCTCTTCCATATGTCTCTTCCAGAGACATATAGAATGGTACTGTAAATATAGAATGGTATCGTACGGATGATGTTATTCTCCACATTAATAAAGCAGGATAGGTGATACAACTAGTAAGAATTTAACTTTGTGTGTGCAGTTACTGTAAATCCAGAATCTTTCACAGAAACTAGTAAATCTCTGATATTCCGTTCTTCAGTGCAAGACAATAAGACAAAAGGAAAAATAATGTACTTTTTTTATGTGTCTTCCCTGCAAGGTTATTATTCATGGAGGAATCCTGGAAGAGGCTCCTGGTTTGTGCAGTCTCTGTGCTCTGTGCTAAATGAACATGGAAAACAACTTGAGATCATGCAGATCCTCACACGGGTCAACTATGTGGTTGCCACAAATTTTGAATCACAATCTGATGATCCACGCTTCAGTGAGAAGAAGCAGATTCCTTGCGTAGTGTCTATGCTCACTAAGGAACTTTACTTCTGAAAGCAGATTTTAATGCAACCAATGATGTGAGATCAGGATATGTTTTTGGGTGGAGATTGGATTATAAATTGGAATAACACTATTTTATATAATTCAATTACACTAGATTTATAAATCGCATAAGCTGGAGTATCTGATGGATGGACAATATACAAGATTTAAAAAAAATAAATGCTCTGGACCAACCCTACAGCTGATACAAATTATTTTGATTTTCCTTAGTGTGGCTGTCTTGATTTATGGGTATTGAAGATGTTCTGAGAGTTACCTACCTGATCCATAAAGGTTTATTCCAGAAAACAGATTGTAAAATTTATTTTAAAAAGCATCAATGAGACTCCATCTTTTCTCTCACTACTAGCTCAAAGAACTGTAAATTCCTTGGAAATTTCTGAAGACTGTCATACTATGGGAATGTCCAGAGATAAAACTAATCTTGTAGCTCTTTAAAAGGGTGGTTCATAGTCTAATTTATTCATTTCCTTTTTTATGAGCATTATTAATGATGATTAATGGTTGCTCTGTGTTTAATATGGAAGTCAATTTACTTAGTTATCGTTCTAGCAAAAGGTGGTTTTATTTGTAAGTGATTCAGTTGAATAGTATTGAAATGTGACAAACATTTTAATTTTATTTTATTCTAAAATTGGGCAAATTGTAATTGGATGATGCCTTATTAAATTGCCACTTTGGAGACTTTTGCTTTGCAAATGACAATTAACTGTTAGAACGGCCTGAAACAGTGGTATTGAAATTTGTTTGCCTGCAGAAATAAAAATATCTGATTGTTGATTCAGAAGTTTTGAATCCACAGAAAGTTAATGTCTAGGCTTTGTTATAAAAAATAAAAAAAGGTTTAATGTTGAAATGATAGAATTATGTGAATGTTTACAAGTGGATGTTTAGATTTTACTTATGTCTGTGAGGAATTTTGCCAAGACTGGAAATACTTACTTGAATCAGAAACCAGAAGTGCCTTTTTAGTTACTGTATTGTCTTGATCTTGTATTTTGGAGATATGTCGATGATGATCATATTCCTACTTTTTATATTCTGTTTAAATTTGGTAGCTAGTTCAGAAAAGTAAGTTTTATGATTTAGTTAGACTGCTAAATGATAAGTTATTCACCCTTTTCCCAGCAAATGCATTCTATACTTTTTTATTGTATTTTATTTTATTTTATAAATCTTCTAAGAAAATAGTTACATGTTACTAGGGCCAAATTACCAAATTATTAAGTTAATTTTCTTACAAGAATTGTGGCATAATGAGGCATATTTTTTCATAAGTCAAATTTACAATTGTTTGAATAAAATGAATTACTGTTTTGTGGAAGTCTTGAGCGTGACATCAATAAAGACCTGTTTTGTTTTTTAATTTCTTATGAATATCTGCCTGTTTGTCATTTAATCTGGCAAAGTGAAAACCCACCAAAATACTTCCCAAAAGTTATCTCAGACACGAATGCAGATGGTTCAGCCAGTGACTGGTGAGGTTCCCTGTGACTGGTAAGGAAACAGAGGAGTTAATATTTATGAGTTTATTCCAAGAGTAGGAAAAGCTTCTTACCTTATTTGATATGATGTCCTAAAGAACAAACAAGTGGACAGAGGGGAAAAGAGAGTAGGAAAAGCTTCTTACCTTATCTGATATGATGTCCTAAAGAACAAACAAGTGGACAGAGGGGATCTTTACTAGACTTTGTGGTACTTTTATTTTAATGGATACTAAATAAGGACAGCTTGGGAATTTCCAACTAATAGCTGAAATGGTTGCTGTCTGTCTAAGAAAAAAGGCAAAATAATAGTGTTATTTGAAGCTCTTCAGTTCTCTAATTTGCAAGAGATCTCTCCTGGTAGACCAAAGTTTTCCTGGAAAAAAACACAAAGGAGCACAGCAATTCTATGTGCTGACTTACAATGAAAGGAAGAAATTAAGGCTGAATCTTAAACAACCTTCAGGCTTGTCCGGTATGTGAAGTATACAAAGATCAAGCATCAAATATCTGAAGACACTGCCAGAGAGGAAAGCAACTTGGAAAGACAACATTGAAAGAAAGAGATAAAAACATAGTTCATTGTGTAGGGGCCAGTGTCTCTGCTAGATGGAGCATTGCTTTAGATCACATCCAAAAAGCATTAATATTATGTAGTCTGCAGGAATCCGTTCAGAGTAAGGAAGCCTGACCCTTTGGCTCAAGCAAGGCCAGATAGCTGAGTAGTGACTTATAAGCTGTAGGACATTTTAGCCTATTTCCCATTCAAATTTAAAACTGTTTTCTGTCTAAAAGCACTTCCATGGCCTTTTGCAGGATTAGCCAAATGGTTTACTGCATAAAATCAGTATCATTAATTATGCTGGATGTCTCTGGAGAGAACCCAGATAGTAGCCTATAACCAAGATGGACATTGACCCAAGAATGAAAGTGCACTCTCATTACGTAGGTAGCATAAGAGAGCCTGCTCCACCTCGTGGGTTAGTCAGTACAGCTCTTTAAATCAAAACTCAGTTACATTTTATGGCACTTTATGATCTTTTATGGTTGTTAATGTTCCTTTATCTTCCAGTAGTGGGTGGATACAATCTCTCAGACACAGTTCTGGGGGAAAAAAAGGGACTGGTTAATAAGCTGAAGTTAAAAAAGAGTTGTGGGTTTTGTTGTTTGTTTGTTTGTTTTTCTGCATGGGAGACATTTATGGCTGCCTCAAATGTGTGTATTTTTTATTTGTTTGTACATGAATATTAATCTGGGTTTCCCCTTTCAGAAAAGTCTTTAATTTACTTCCCCGGGCAGAAACGGGAATTTCCTCGTGGGTCATATTTCACCTGCATTTATACCCTGGCTATAAGAAGGCAGTGACAAGGCAGGGTGAGGACACCATGCTTGGCTGCAGAAAGCAATACAAGGAATCTTGAAATACTTCAAGGTGTATTTCTCGAAGACTTTCTACGCTATGAAGACATCTGCCTGTAAGTACTAACACCGTTTGTTTTACTTATCTTGGTATTATATTTGTGAAGGTTTGTAATAGCCAACATCTCTGTCATTTGCAGTGCTTTATTTACATTTTGACTGAAGTGCCTTGTTGCATTTCCACAGGTTGAAATCAATCAAATCTCTTAATGTCAGGTATAAAAAAATCTGAGGGGTATAATCCTGGAGTCAGCACTGTATATTCTGAATTAGACATAATGCATTTAAAAGCTTGCTTTCCATTGAAGTGAAAAAAATTAAGTACAACACTTAAAAACTTTTTTTTTTTTTTTTTCAAAATGCAAAGTGAGATAGCACAAATGGTGAAAAGCCTACTGTAACCTCATGGGTTTTTGTCTTTCCACCTGCAAACCTTGACTTTTATTGAAACTTGGAGGAGGCTTCTATCATGTTGTAGGTTCTTGGAATGCTGCTTTGAGATGCATCGCTTGCCCATCGTGGTGCCTTTGTCAGTCACACTGAGAGGAATATTACACTGCACTTCATTGCAACCCCAGACTTGTTCCCCCACTACTGACATTAAGAGTTTGACTGTGTGCAGTCACTTTTAGTTCTGGAAATAGCTTTTTTGTCCTTTTTTTGGTAGGCAATAGATGAAAAGACTAGGCAGTAAATTTTATAATAGTCTGTCACCACATTTATACAACCAATCTTTCTCCCCAAAAGGCAAAATTGTAATGGTTTCCCTAAAAAAAAAAAAATACAAGCTGAAATGCTCTACAGAGTTGTCCAGCAGACAACAGTTTGCAGTGGTTTGTTCTCATTTACAGCTTTGCCTGGAACTGGGTATGGAAGCTCACAGCTTGATCTGTAAAACTGTGGAGGTAAAACTGTGCATGTAACCTCCTCTGTGTCAGGTGACGGCCAGTGCTCACCACTCCTGGCTGTTCCATGTTTACTTCTAGCACCAGCATATAAATCAGTGAAGAAATAAACACAAAGAAACCACCTTAAATCTCTCAGTGCAGCCAGGGAGTGCAGCAAAAAACTTGAGGACAGCACTTGCAGTCCCCCAGATTTTGCCAACGAGGTTCGTGTGGCATGCACACTGGGGGCTGTGTCACCTTGTAGCTGACAGGGAAATTACCAAAAGGCAAATGAGCTGAAAATGCCTGTGGAAGTCAGTAACCAAAGCCACCTTTTACCATCTAAATGGTCCAAGTCCCACAGATTGTTGCTCGTGTGTTTCGTTGTGGGGTAATTTAACAAAATGCTGGCAAAATCCATGGCAATGCATCAGTGCCTTCTGCCTCCCTCCTAGCCCCTGCTTCCATCTCTGCCTCAGCCTGGCTGTGCCATGAGCAGGTAATGCAACTTCTCGGGCTCACAGGAAGATTACTGTTTTCTGGTTAATATTGGAGAAGACTCTGTGAAAACCAGTTGACATAAACAAAAACAGATACTTTGAAAAACCATGATACTAATCCACATCCATCGCTGTTTATAAATTGTTGGGAGAGCACTGTATTAAAATTAGTACAGACTAGATTATTATCTATAGCACTCTGAACAGGTTTTCGAAATACCCTCAGATGTTAAACTCTGCAGGGCATGTGATGCCTCCTGAACGCGGGGCTGACCACACTGCCAAGGCAGTGCCAGGAACAGGTGGGATGCAGCATTCCTCAGTTATAGTTTTGTATCTCCTGCAAAGGAAGGGGCAAAATATGCTTCTGTTGGCATCTCTCCTCACATCCAAAGCAAATCATTCCTTTGACTTATAGAAATTTAGACATTTTATTAAGCATCATTTCAAATTTACAATATAAGAATAAATACAGTCTTATAGCATATATGTAATTATAATATATAATCTTATTAAGTATAGCAATATATTTAATAATTTTTATGATTGTTTCTGTAGTTTCTTATGGATTTTTTCTATGTTTAATTTCATATAGTTTAACCACCACAACAAAAATAAACACCTCTGATATTTTCTCAAGCAACCATCCATGCAGTGAAATGTTGCTCAGCAAGAAACAGGGTGAAAGGAATTAGCTTCAAGTTTGCTGTTCTCTTTCTTTTGTTCTCAGAAGGAAAAACAAAACAAAACAAAACAACAGAATCAGGATGGCTTCAGGAAGCAAGAAAAACTCTGCAGGTACCAAATGTCATTTACTAAGATTTACCAGTGGTAAGGTAGAATCAGGTTTCAAACTATTGTTTTCAATATTTAATACTTGTCTCTTTCACCTCCAACTGCCGAGGAGTTTGTCATAAACAATGGGTGAAAAACAGGGGAAAACAGTATGTTGAAAGTTTCAGAGAGCTCAGCTGGACTTATATTGTGTGTTAATTTTGTTCCTTTGCTTCCTTCATTAAAGAATCTGTCTTAAACGCAGTGTTTCCCTCTAGAGCAGAATCCTTCTTGTCCCTTACAGAGGCTGGACTGATTTCTGAAAACATTAAAATCCTTAAAAATCAACTGGGAACTGTCAGTAGCTGATGATGAAGTCACCACAAAGCTGGGTGTTTTTTTATTGCCACCTTTCCCAGAACTTAGGCACGTCCCAGGCTGCTGGAGGTTGACTGCGTTCTTCAGTCATTCATTGGGTTCTTTAAAAGTCTTAATTTCCCATACACTGCTTGCAGCTTAAAAATAGAATAAGATTGTCACTCCTTTCACTGGGTGTTCAAGTGCTCTAAGATTTTGATCAGAAATCCATCAGTGGTTAGAAAAAAAACATGAATCTTAAACTGTAGTTGAGCACAGAGTACGCAGGGTCATGAAGAAATGCATTCAGGTATTTTTACCCCTAGTCTTTTAGCTTATATTTTTTTTGTAAGACTTCTTCCTGTTGCTCCATCATGATCTGCACAGTAAGATGATTTATCCTTCGTGGTGTTTGCAGCCTGTCCATACTGAATGCCATCTACAAATTTAATTAGGGTGCTGTTTACTGTCTTTCAGATCGCTAATGAAGAAGTTAAGTAAGACCAGACCCCAGAACTTAAGTCAGATCAGTTAAATAAGACAGAGCTTTCTGATATCTTCCGAGCTACCTCCCTCAATGCAGGACATTGCCACTGTCACTTGTTTACAGTTTTGGCCAGTTGTCAGCAGTAACAGGGACATCAAGGAAGCATGGCCTGGCTCTAAGTTTTATAGCTTTGATTTCTGTCTGTCTTCTCTAATTGAATGTGCTTTATGGCCATTTAAGCACAGAAACCCAGTGCTCAGCTTCATTTTCCAGTTCAAGGAGGTCCCTGGAGGAGATTAATTGGCAACGAGTAATGGTGCCATTTGTTTCTCTTTGATTAGTGGGAGCTCAAAAGACGTTTTGCTCTGAAGGTGGAATCTGCCAGCATGGATTCCTCATCAAGTCACCACCTCTTCAACTTTTGAACTCACAGGTATACAAACACAGATTAGTCATGTTCCAGCA